CCTCCTCCTCCTCCTCCTCCTCCTCCTCCTGCCGCAGGTGTACAGCTGGCAGAGCGGTCCCGGCTCTTCCCAGCAGCCCCTGCCGGCAAAGCCAAGCCACCTGGGAGCTTGGGGAAGACCGCAGCTCTGCAGATGGAGATCTGCGGGGTGAGCTCCCCTAACCCCCTAATCCCTTCCATTTTCCAAAGAAGGAAGCTGAAGCCTGTGAGAGGGGCCCGGGATTTGCTGGCTGGCCAGACAGGCACACCGCATTCCCCCATGTTGGTCACTGGGGCCTATGGTAAGGACTAAACAGAAGCCAGCCTCTGAACAAACTGTTTTCTCTTCCAGTCTCAACAGATCCACCTTTTCTTTCTTCTCTTAAGTATGTTAATACATTTTATTTATTTATTTAGTGTCTACGTGTGGGGGCCAGAGGGTATCTTGTGAGGGAGTCGGTTCTCTTCTTTCATCTTGTGGGGTGGAGATGGGGGCATGGAACTGATTGTCAGGCTTGGCGGTAAATGCCTTTACCGCTGAACCATCTCACCAGATCCAGCCCATCTCTTCAAACCTGCACAGCCAGATTCCCTGGAGCTGGAGTTACAGGTGGGTGTGAGCCACCCAGTGTGGATGCTGGGAACCTAACTCAGATGCTCTTAACCACTGAGCCATCCCTCCAGCTCCCCACCCCACCACCTCTCTTCTGGACCAAACTCTGGTCCTTTACATCTCTGGGATCCCTGCCCCTTCAGTCCCCTACACACACATCCCCTGCACACACATCTCCATCCTCTTAATCTAGCCACCCATCTTTTACTGCTTTCCATTCTTTCTTTCACTCCCCTCGATTGTGACTCCAAGAATGGGGGGTTTTTATCTTTTGGCTCACTGCTGAATTTTTAACAACTAGGGCAGGGCTAGTACAGAAAAAGGACACTTGCTGAAGTAAAGAATAAGTTGAGGTAAATGTATTGGGTTAAAAATCCTTAGAGATATGCAAATACTCCAGTTAAGAAAAGGACCTTCTCCAGGCCTCCTCCCTTCCCACAGAAGGCCTGTGTGTGGAAATGGTTAACAGCTGTGCTAACACATTCATACGTTTACCATGTACCTTACAGGTATTAAAGATGTGCAGTGCACAATTCACACATAATAAAATATGCAATGCTCTCCCTTATAAATTCTATCTAGCCTGGAGGTAGTGGTACACGCCTTTAATCCCAGCACTTGGGCGGCAGAATCAGACAGATCTCCAAGTCTGAGGCCAGCCTGGTCTATAGAGCAAGTTCCAGGAAGGCTACCTGGAACAGCCAAGGCTACCCAGAGAAACCCTGTCTCAAAAAAAAAAAAAAACTAAATAAATAAATAGAATAAATTCTGTCTAACCAGCTCAACATTACAAGTGAATTTTGCCCACTCTTGTATTCAGAGTTAACCCAAAGCTTCAATTTAACAAAATAATGCAATTCTTTTCCCAGTGAATTGAGATTGTATTTCCATTAAATCCAATAATGGCCCTCTAGTAAACTGTTCCTCACCATGATATAAATTATATTCACTAAACTGAAACCTCTTGCTTTCTTGAGTCTCATGTGGCCCAGGTTAGCCTTGAACTTCCGACTTTCCTACCTTTGCCTCCTGAATGCTGGTTTACAGGGAAACACCATCATATCTAGTTGGTGTGGTGTTAGGGATTGAACCCAGGCCCCCATGCACGCTAAACAAGCTCTCCCAACTGAGTTACATCCCCAGCTCCTAAACTGGAACTTCTTTCTAGTCTTTCATGCTCCTGATTGCAGCAAGGCTGTCTTCTTAGCTTTCCACACAGACTGAACATAGTTTGTGCCTTCCCTGTTTAATAATACCCGATTTTAATATCAGCTTATACAATTCCAAGAAGTATCCTCACGCCCAGTATCCAGCACATGATGCTATTCTCTCCTTTGACCCTAGCTCACGGCAGCCCCATAAGGTGGCATCATTGTCCCTCTCTCCAATGAGAAAACCAGTGCTCCAAGGTGAATGGCCAGGCAGCAGCCTCCAGCAGCCCCGTTTCTCCCCCATCCCTATCCAATTGATAGATATTAAAGAGCCACCTTCTTGGTATCAGACACTGGGATGCAAAGAGAATCTGCTTTCTTCCTTTCTAGTAGTCTCAAAAGCCATAGAGAGGAACAGTGAGTCTTCCATCCTGGCATGGTGGGGCGACTTCTGAGGCTGGAGGCGGCCTCTAGCTTAGGTCTACCTTTAAAGGCTTTATTTTTCTTTATGTGTGTGCATGCATCCAGGTAGGTGCCTATGGAGACAAGAAGTGTCCGATGCCCTGGGAGCTGGAGTTAGAGGTGATTGTGAGCAGTCCTTATATGTGTTCTGGGAACCAAACTTGGGTCCTCTGCAAAAGCAGTACAAATTCTGAACTACTGAGTCATCTTGCCAGCTCCTAGCCCATAAATGTGGGCTAGGCCCAGTGCTTTAAAGTCCCCTCATCTGTCCCCTCTGGCCTTGGCCTTGGTTTGGGGGATAGGGAGTTAAGGATTCTAGGAGAAGGTACCCACTTGGACCTATTAGGTCACATCCCTGCCACCCCCTCTTCTAGACCAAGCTCTGGGCACTTACACCTCTAGGATCCTTGCTGGAGTATCCAGAAGCCACTCCTATGGCCTTCTGGCCACTGTCCTGCATCAGAGCTTCCTGCACCCTGTGCACCTGCAGTTTATCTCACTGACCAGGTGTCATTTCAGCAGCAATGACAAGTCGATAGTGGGGCTCTTTCCATCCTCTGTTGGGGTAGGTTTAGGGGCACAGCCCCAGGGGAAGCTGGTTGTCCCCTGAATGTCCCAGGCTGGGCTCTGGCCATTTTTGCCAGGTACTCAGCCACCAGACCCCTGGCCAGGTCTTGGCCAAGTCCTGTGTAACCCAATTCTGCCTTTCTGGTCTTGGGGAAACAGACCTCTCCTCTGCAGGAAACTTAAGAACAAGGTGCTCACACTGAGTTGGGCGGACGGTGTCAGCCGAAGCCCTAGTTTTACAGAGACTATGGCTCATGAAGAAATATCCTGCCAGCCGGCCGGTGGTGGCACATTCCTTTAATTCCAGCACTTGGGAGGCAGAGGCAGGTGGATCTCTGTGAATTCCAGGCCAGACCTGGTCTACAGAGCGAGTTCCAGTGTAGCCAAGGCTACACAGAGAAACCCTGTCTCAAAAAACAAAAAGAAAAAATAAAGAGAAGGAAATATCCTGCCGAGGGTGTAGCCTGGGCTCTGTTCCCCATCTGCACTGACTACCAAGCCCCACCCCTTCGTCTAGGGCCTTCAGCTACTATGTTAATGTTCTCTCTCCAGCCATCACCAGCTTCCCACCCAGGCCCACTCTCTGGAGCAATCTCTCGTCTATGACCCAGCTTTAAAGTCACATTGACATATGATAAGCCCCAGGAGGTCAGCAAACCCATCTTCGGAGTCACCCCCAACCAGATAGCCAGCCGCCCCACAGCACCTGGCCCCACGCCTGTGAGTGGGCCAGCTCTCCACCCATCAGGCCGGCCTTCCTACCAACAGAACCCAGCAAAGCAAATTGCCTAATGAGACACACATTTGTGGGGAGTTCCTAATTAAAGAGCAAACCCAACCTACCATTAATTTGGTCCTGGGAAAGGAACTTGGCCTGCAGCAGAGAAAGAACAATTAGGAGGAGGCTTCAGCAGGGGCCTTCTCACCTACTTCCGGAAAAGCCCCCTCACTCACCATCTTCAGGCACCCCTTGTTCCGTGTTTGGTTCTCTTTCCTCTGGCTTGGAGTCGAAAGTCCACCAGGCTGGGTGGAGGCCTGGTAATAAATCCCCTGCTGCCATGGAGACTGGGCCCAATGCCATGAGGGTCAGATTCCAGCTTTCTCCGAGCAGTGATGCCCCACCATCCTGACGTTGACTGTGAGGAAACCATTACAGACTCTCCTGGAGGTCCTTGCCGCTGGAGGCTGAGGCTCTGCAGCCCCAAGAAAAATGCCAGTGTCCCTGGGAGCCTAGATTCTGGAAAGGGGGCCTGGGTGGGGCTGACTCTGGCCTGGCCTGAGCCGTCTTGAGACCGTTGCTGGAGCCAGACACCACACACACTTTCTCCAGAAGAGGCTATCCAAAGGAGCCCGGCTCTGAGACTTCATACACCGCCTTGGCAGCTGGGGACACACTGAGGACATCGTCTTCAGCTTGGGACCCGAATCCCTCCTCTCCTCTGCCTGTTTCCTCACCAGATACACGATGCCATAATTATAGGCTGCAGGGACCCAATGACCAGCACACTGCCAATTCTACCTCCCGGGGGGTGGGGGCTGGGGATGGTGGTGGCTGCTGGGGATGGTGGTGGCTGCTGGGGATGGTAGTGGCTGCTGGAGGTGCTCAGGAGCCTTGGCGTTTGACCTCTCAGTGACTTTCCCAGGTAGGAAGCTCCTCTAACTCTTCTTCTGCTCCTCACCCGTTCCTGTATTAGCGCTGACTCTGAATTTCTCTATGCTGCTCCTCTCCCACCCACCCCCACCCCCGAGACTGGAATATGGGTGGCTCCCAGAACTGCCATTAAGCCCTGGACATGACTCGGTCCTCACACGGGTCTGGAAGTCTCCTTCCCTCATCCACACCTGGTGGCTGCTTTGCCTGCAAGGCACCTAATCCAGGCAGGCGCAGTTGGCTATTGTGTGTGGTCACCCAGGCTGTGCACTACCCAGGGAGCTAACAGCTGCCGAAGGCTGCAGGTGCCAGAGGAAGAGGGCTCTCCTGCTAACTCTGGGGGCACATGGGTATGTGG